AGAAGTTTGTCGCAGGAAGTTCTTGTCTGTCAGAAGTCACAGGAGGTTTTAGTTTTTCAGGAGTTTGTCACAGGAGGTTCTTATGTTTCAGAAATTTGTCGAAGGAAGTTCTTGTTTTTCAAAATTTTGTTACTAGAAAGTTTTATATTTTCAGAAAGCTGTAGCTATGAGTTTACATGTCTTAGAAAATTATCACTGGGATCTCCTGTTTGTCAGCAGGTTGTCCCTGATGAAAGCGTATGTTTTTCAAAAGACTTTCATCGGTGATCATTTTATTTTTCAGAAGACTGTGTGTTGTAGTTTCATTGTCTGAGAAGGTTGTCACTGATGGGAGTTTTTGTTTTCCAGTAATATGTCACTGGAATATCCCGTGTTTGAGAAGGTTCTCAATGAATGGAGTTCTTGTGCTTCAGAAAGCTTTCACAGGGAGTTCTTGTGTTTTTAATAGGTTGTCACCAGAATCTCCTGTGTCCCAGATGTTCGTCACTGGAAATGGTCAATCGGAGTTCTTGTGTCTTAGAAAGTCATCAATAGGATCTCTTGTATGCCAGTCGGAGTTCCCATGATTCAAAAGGTTATTATTGACAGGAGTTCTTGTTTTCATGAGGTTGTCACTCGGAGCTTCCGTCTTTGTGAGCTCTTATGTCTCAGAATGTCGTCTTTGTGAGTTCGTATGTCTCAGAATGTCATTTTGGGGATCTTCCGCGTCTCAGTAGTTCTTCACTGGAAGCTTCTGCGTCTCAATTTGTCGTCTTTGTGAGTTCCTATGTCTCAGAATGTCATTACGGGGAGCTCCCGTGTCTCAGTAATTCTGAGATGCAGAAGCTCCCAGTGACGAACTACTGAGACACGGGAGCTCTCCGTAATGACATTTTGAGACGCAGAAGCTCCCAGTGAGGAACTACCGAGACATTGTAGCTCCCGTAATATGGGGTGAAGGAGGATTGTTTAATCTTCGAGCACCCCAGATTAGTAATTATTTCTTCGGAAATAATTATTTTTAAATCTAAATAACTGCCAGGAACAAACAAACAAACAATTCTGAGAGGCGGAAGCTGCCAGTGACGAACGTCGTCTTTGTGAGCTCCTATGTCTCAGAATGTTATTACAGGGAGCTACCATGTTTCAGTAGTTCGTCACTGAGAGCTTCTGCGTCTCAATTTGTCGTCTTTGTGAGCTCCTATGTCTCAGAATGTCATTACGAGGAGCTCCCCTGTCAAAGTAGTTCCTCACTGGGAGCTTCTGCGTCTCAGAATGTCGTCTTTGTAAGCTCCTATGTCTCAGAATAGACAGGGGAGCTCCCCGTAATGACATTCTGAGACATAGGAGCTTACAAATACGACATTCTGAGACGCAGAAGCTCCCAGTGAGGAACTACTGAGAGGCGGGGAGCTCCTCGTAATGATCAGTAGTTCATCACTGGGAGCTTCCATGCCTGAAACGGTTTGTATTTTAAGTCAACTCCTCAGTGAACTCTGTTTATCTAATGCGTTGTTTCCAGTTGATGATTTTAAGAGAAGATTAAACTGTGCTAGATTTTATTTTTCATTATTCTGCCAATTATAGCACTGAAATTGTAGATATTCTTCATTAAATGAACAAACACTGTTTATACTTTTTGTCGTATTTTTCATCTATATAGATAGCAACTTTATCTTTGTTTAATATAAATACGTTTCTTTAAAATTCAGTGCTCTTATAACACAACAAATGATTTTTTTTTCACATCAGAAATTCCATGGCCTACTTTGACACCTACAACCATGGTTCTTTCGATGTCGTCTACGTCACAGGGAACGAGTTCATGGAGTAAGTATTGATCGTGTTTTTCATGCACAGTTAAAGGAGACAAAGGTCATTCTTCAGTTTCCTTTTTTACTTTTAAACATTATTATAAATTACTTACGATTTAAAAAAAAAAAACGCCCTCTCTCGCGAAATTTGTAAAGAAATTTAAACGGTTTTAATGAGGGTTATTGTCGAAGACCTATTTTTTATATTTATATTTTTAAGTGCGTATGATATGTGTATTGTTTGTCCTAGAGTGATCGGCTGTGGGAAGGATACGTTTTCGACTTGTATTGACTGAAAATTAATGGTCCGTTAAACTAGTATCTCGGTATCACAGTAGTAAAAAAAGAAGAAATACATTTTAAAAGAAAGAAAGACAGTGGCTACCAAAATTTATGAATGGTCGTTGGCTTTATGTTATTTTGTTTGATGTATTTTTTGAGCTTGGTGTTTAAAACTTTTAAGTTTGGATTGTCAAAATGCAAACGAAGTCTCTTTTTCTATGCGGCAAATTTTATTTTACAAAAAAATTCCAGAACACGTTGAACTCCAAAAGCGGCACGAACTCTCCAAATGTCTGTCTTAAATGAAATACTATACAAGCGCTGTAAAACGTGATTCAATGTTCTTATCTAGGCCGCTGCTTGATTAAGATATGTTTCATTTGTGTTTCATGTAAAAAAGCATGATTATGATATGTTTCACTTGTGTTTCATGTAAAAAAGCATGATTAATATATGTTTCACTTGTGTTTCATGTAAAAAAGCATGATTAATATATGTTTCACTTGTGTTTCATGTAAAAAAGCATGATTATGATATGTTTCACTTGTGTTTTATGTAAAAAAACATGATTATGATATGTTTCACTTGTGTTTTATGTAAAAAAGCATGATTATGATATGTCTCATTTGTGTTTCATGGTATAGGTTCCTGGCATTCTGTTAACAGAAGCCTTCGAGCGTGACGACGTGTAAACCTTATACAAGATTTAATAAAGGGAAATCAATGTATTGATATGATTATCACGTGTCTTTCAAAATAGCTCCTGTTGTTGTTAGCTGAAAGCTGCTATATGTGTGTCCTTCTAATCGATCTTCGATATTATTCTGTAAACTTTGGAAGAATACGGCTAACATAGAATTACTTTATTTGCGCTACATTGTTTCGTATTATCTGTTTATTTTTCCCGTTTACTATTATTGTTATCTATAACAAGGAAATACAGATCTCATAAAATGTCAGAGGAAATTCTGTAGTATCAGTACGATGTGAATAGGCGTAACTCATGAACATCCGCGCACGTCGGATAAACACTGAAAAATTAGATCTGTCAATGGATAAAACCAATATTAGTTTATTGTGGTATCTATATAAAAAAAATCCACACTTTGTATACAAGGTCGCTTGAGCTAGTGCTCTTCCCTCAAATGATATGAAAAAATTCACACTTTGTATACAAGGCCTGAGGGAAGAGCACTAGCATGATTCACTTCTTTTTTTTTAACGAAAAAAGACCATAAAACGTAACTATTCTTTTTATGGAGATTTATACACAATACATTGGATTGAGCTATAAGACATAAAAAGCCGAATAAACTAAAAATGAAAAAAAAATCAAGATTATGAGCTCCGTAGTGCGGCTAGTAATTTATTTTTCTTTTGATAATGAAACACTGCAACTGTATTCTCCATGCTTTGCCTCTGTTCTCCTGTTTCATTATTTCACTTTCTATAACTTAGTTTGGCGTGAATTCGTATCAGTCGTCGTAAAGTAGGTGTTTACTTTAACCTTTATGTTAGTGGACTGCTACTGCTTTCCACAACAGTAGTTATAAAAAACGGAGATGTTTGTTGTAGCTGCGTGGTGTCCATTGTTGTCGAGTATTGTAAGAAAAACCTCTTCAAATATTACACTACACATTTTCTAAGGCTCTTGTTTGTTTTTTGGTAAGCACAAAACTGTATGTGCTGTGCACCCTCGGTTTTTGGCAACGTGAACCCTCAGATTTACCGCTGAACCAGTGGGGGGGGGGGGGACAACCATAAAGCAGCAAATAATTTACTAACATAACTAGAAAACAATTGTACAGTTTAATTCAATGGAGCTCCTCGTGACACGATGGAGCTCCTCGTGACACGTGTTTTTCTCTCTTGTTTTTTTTAGTGGTAGTTTGTACAAGTTATTTCAGAATAACGTAAAATTAAAAAAAACCATCACGAATTATAAAAAAATATGACGCATATATAGCGAAACATCTAAACATTACTCGAAATAAACAAATTATCGAAGATGTTGATTTCATAAAGATTTATATTTTTATCGCTTTATTTGAACTATAGGTAGCTATCACATCTCTTTCCAGTTTCTCAACCGTCAGTTATATGTGTGAATAATTTCACCAAAGCTGTACTTAGATTAAAAGTTTTCCTCTGGGTGCACTTTGCATAGAGCACGCGCCAACGTGTCTGTAGAAACTTAGCATGCTGTCTCAAACATAATCACATCTGCATGGTATCACTCATAGAAAATGTTAATTTTATTTAAAATTTATATTATTCAGTGTTATAAGAATACACAATCTTGAAATTAATTATATTATGTTTTTCTGAGATATTGGCCCAAATTAATGGATTGAAAGTATTATTTACAGATCTTTTTTTGATAAAACATGAAAGAATTTGGATAAAAGAAGATAGAAAGTTATTATTTGTTTTGAATTATAATCTGAGGTTATTTACACTGTAATTCTCATGTTACTGACCTGTTTATGTACCGTTCATTACAGTGGGGATTCGTTTATATATCGTTCATTACTAGGGGGATTCATATAGAATAACACTAAATACGTTTACATTTTTACCTGTCACAGTAATCAGTCTAAAGAATTGGCTGAACAAATCTTTAATTTTTATGCAATGTACGTAAAAAACAACAGTAATTAATGTTGATGTTTTTTTTTGTGTTTACATATTTTTGGGTGACTGGTATAAAGATACCCTTGTAACAAGCAAAGTCACGAACTCGTGGATCAGGGACAAATCTATTGTAAAAATAGCTAAAAGTAAACGTTGTTTTTTAAAAAAAAGGCGGCAAGATTCGTAAGGATTACACTGCTTGTTTACTTGTTGATAAGTGCAAAGTTACATGAAGGGCCATCTGTGTTCTGCCCACTGTAGGTATCGAAACCCGAATTTAAGCGTTATAAGTCCATAGACTTTCCGCTAAGCCACCGGGAGGCTAATTCCACTGTTAATTCTAGGGTTAAATATTGTGATATCTGATTCTAGGGTTTGTTTGTTTACAGACGGCATGCCAAATCTTAGTGAGCTCGTTGGGGATCATACACACTCTCCTAAGGAACTACCCCAAGCAGCTAAAGGTAGGTTTACAAGTTGTTTTACTGAGTTGCTTCCATTTCTCAGGTTAATATAATGATTCTTTACAGGACGATCTTTTTTTTTCTTCAGGGAGAGATCGTCGAGCAGTTACTTGAGTTCTAACCTTCACACTAATAACTTCAAATAATTAGTTGTTGTAACGGATTTTTGATATTGCTCTTAGATTCTGTAACAAAGTGCATCGGGTTAGAGTCAGTGCTCTATTGAATAAGAAGATTCATATATTACATTATACAAATTGTATCTATTTGTATGTATAATATACGTGTATATTTGTATATATATAGGATTTGGATAGAAAACAAAACTAAGATGTTAGGACTATTCCAATGTATAAAGTAAGCTGCCTACGAGCTCTTGAATGATATGCTGAAGTGTTAGGGTTAAGTTTCATTGTTTGAGAAAACAACATGACATAGAGCATGGAAGTCTCGTACATTCTTAATGTAAAAATCATGCCATTTTCACAAAACTATAAATAATATCATTTTAGAATGAAAATGCCTGCAACCACACTACCTTCGGGGGGGGGGGGTATTCCGTTTATAAGACGTAATCAAAACAACAGATACAAAACTAGAAAGCCAATTACAGGTTCAATAAGGGGTTAAAATACGGATGCTAGAACTTACAACGTCCCAGATTCCTCTATCACCCATCGTCAATAGCCAGTTGTGGGCATGATAAATAAAAGTCTGATATCATCAACCACCCTGGAAAATATCATCCGACCCCCATCTTTCTTTTAAAGCTCATATAATAAATTTTAGTGCTTTACTAATATATATATACATATATGATGTTATAAACTATAAACCCCTCCTCTATAGATCTGGTTCCCCTACCTTCACACAAGGAAGAAGAACATACATCTGATAAATGTAAACTAAATACACGATAGGCGTAAAGAAATGTGATCCACATACTTATATAAAAGTGTTAATGTGCAAGAGGTCAGAATTCATACTTACTGTGCAGTGTATTATAAGTCAAAATAATATTTAATTTCAAATGGTACCTTAGTGATAAATAATATTATACATGCATCATACTAAAATATGCAGAAGTATCACCGTTTGGAAATTCGTCAAAAGATATTAGATATAGAACATGTCCAGACCAATAACTTATTTTTAAGTTAAAGCCTACTAAAAGCTTGACTCTATAGTTTCATTTGGAGACAAAAATAAGGAAAAGATATAGCTTGTCTACAGTATCTTAGTTAAGGTTTGGACTAGTAGATACCACCATTACGAGCTCCTTGTCAACGGTATTCATTTAGTACTTTAGTTCTAGGTTATTAAAAAAAAAGATGGAAATATTGAAACTGCAAAGAATCCCTCGAGACTTAAATTATTCACTCTAAGCAAAGACTGGAAGTGGTAGATGAATAACATGCAATACGTAAGCGAGATCTTGGATGGACCTTTAATTTTAAAGTGCGTAGTTTCTGTTTTTAACATTTTATTTTCTTTGAAAGCATTTGCTACAAAACTGAGGTAAATAAGCTGTTGACATGTGGTATTCACGACGGATAGTAGTATCCGCAAAACAGATTCACGGAACTCGAACAGTAAAGGAAAGAAACAAACACGGATGGACAGATAAACAAAAACATGTATTTACGTAATTGTGTATTGTTTGTTTGCTTGTTTTGAATTTCGCGCAAAGCGACACGAGGGCTATCTGCGCTAGCCGTCCCTAATTTAGCGGTGTAAGACTAGAGGGAAGGCAGCTAGTTATCACCACCCACCGCTAACTCTTGGGCTACTCTTTTTACCAACGAATAGTGGGATTGACCGTCACATTATAACGCCACGCCTCCACGGCTGAAAGGGCGAGCATGTTTGGTGTGACGGGGATTCGAACCCGCGACCCTCAGATTGCGAGTCGAGTGCCTTAACCACCTGGCCATGCCGGGCCACGTAATTGTGTAAGTCTTAACCTTTCTTAATATGTCCGCACAGGACAATGATAAATAAAATTCTGATTTCCCGCCGTCTACTCTAACACTTATAGGAGAGAGAGAAAAATTCCTAACAAATACCAGTTTGTTTACGTATCTGTACCACTCTTGACCAAAATGTTATAGTACATTCAGAAGATTTGCAAGGAACCTTTTAAAAAATTGCATGAATATTCCAGGCTAAAGAAACCTCTAAATAACTGAATGGTTACATAAGTTCACATAATTAAACGGTTATTAGCTGTGTCTAGGTAATAAATGGTTGGTAGATACTCTATAGACGTATCTATCAACCATTTAATTACCTAGACACAGCTAGTAACAATTTAATCATCTAAACGTATCTAATCGTTAAGTTATCGTTTAGATGATTAAACTGTTACTAGCTGTGTCTAGGTAATTGTATCTAATCGTTAAGTTATCTAGACGTATCTATCAACCATTTATTTATATGTTTAAACTGTTGCTACCTGTGTCTAGGTAATTAAATGGTTGATAGATACGTCTAGATAACTTAACGATTAGATATGTTTAGATGTTTAAACTGTTGCTACCTGTGTCTAGGTAATTAAATGGTTGATAGATACGTCTAGATAACTTAACGATTACATACATTTATATGTTTAAACTGTTGCTACCTGTGTCTAGGTAATTAAATGGTTGATAGATACGTCTAGATAACTTAACGATTAGATACGTTTAGATGATTAAACTGTTGCTACCTTTGTCTAGGTAATTAAATGGTTGATAGATATGTTTAGATAACTTAACGATTAGATACATTTATATGTTTAAACTGTTGCTACCTGTGTCTAGGTAATTAAACGGTTGTGAATACATAGAAATAATTAACCAATTCATATATACATATATAGGTAATTCAACGGTTGATCGATACGTAGAGATAATAAAGCAGTTGATAGATACGACTATGTAGTTAAATGGTTGCAAATATGTATATGTAATAAATGGTCACTGATACTACGAGATAACGTAACGGTAATCATATGTCACAGATGTACATTGTAAAAGAACAATAACAAACATTAAAGTGATCACACTTATTTTGCCACAACTTATTGTTAAGTGACTCGAGGAATTGAGAAGTCACAGATGTACACAGTAAAAGAACAATAACAAACATTACAGTACTCACAGCTGTTTTGCCACAACTTATTGTTGAGTGACTCGAGGAAATGAGAAGTCACAGGTGTGCACAGTAAAAGAACAATAACAAATATTAAAGTGCTCACAGCTGTTTTGCCACAACTTATTTTTAAGCGACTCGAGGAATTGAGAAGTCACAGGTGTACACAGTAAAATAACAATAACAAATTTTAAAGTACTCACAATTGTTTTGCCACTCCTTAATCTTCGCTCTAATAAGCTATCACGAAAAAATCATGTATATATATATATATCCTCTTTGAATAATGTATAATAAACGAATTTTTTAATTTCAATTTTTATATAGGCAATAATAAAGAACACAATAACCACTTAATTTGAGTCACGTGCATATCAGGGTTAAAGCTACTAATATAAATGAACAAAATTAGCACGTGTTAACTTCCACTTTAATCAAAATACATCTACAAGCTGTGAAAAGTTTGGAAGAAGGTTCCACAACAATCTACAAACACAGATGGTCAATATATTTTATATTTGCTTATTTTCACTAGTAACTTTGTTGGAATGAACAAATGTAAGAAAAAAAAACAGTTTCATCGTAATGATGACTAATGACACAACGTGCTAATATTTAATTGAACACGCTGATTTCTACGTTCTCTAACTAAAGCTGAAGAGTGAAGGAAGTTAAATTATCAAAGCTACTTAACGTTCATAAATCTCAGCGTCTCTTCTTCGAGTAAAAGAAACCGTCTATAACATCATATCTAATGTTATTAGCACTTCCGATATCTTGTAACACGTATTGTATATCCCAAAACTTCATGCTTTAGGATTCAAAATAAATAGAGTTTCAGAAACCTTTTTTTAGCTTTAGCTAGTAGTTGTTGTTGGTTTATATAACAACAACTAAGTGTCCTAATTAATTAATATATAACCTACATTGCAAAGCCATTCTTTAGAAGCTCTTGGATCAGCGAAAATTTATCGTATAAGAAAGAAAGAAGTAAGATTAAATCACTTACTACACACCCTTATTACTAGTAGCCTGAAGTAAGATTAAATCACTTACTACACACCCTTATTACTAGTAGCCTGAAGTAAGATTAAATCCCTTACTACACACCCTTATTACTAGTAGCCTGAAGTAAGATTAAATCCCTTACTACACAAGTAAGATTAAATCACTTACTACACACCCTTATTACTAGTAGCCTGAAGTAAGATTAAATCCCTTACTACACAAGTAAGATTAAATCCCTTACTACACAAGTAAGATTAAATCACTTACTACACACCCTTATTACTAGTAGCCTGAAGTAAGATTAAATCCCTTACTACACACCCTTATT